TTTATTTAATATCTATTTTAACTCGATAAATAAACACATAGAATTTAAGAGTTAAGTATCGCTGGACATCGGTGGCGCACGCCTTTAATCCCAGCACTCGGGAGGCAGAGGCAGGCGGATCTCTGTGAGTTCGAGGCCAGCCTGGTCTACAGAGCGAGTTCCAGGACAGCTTCCAAAACAATACAGAGAAACCCTGCCTCGAAAAACCAAAAAAAAAAAAAAAAAAAAAAAGAAAAAAGTTAAGTATCACTTTAATTTGGATACTACCAAGGAACTAGGAGTTAGATGCCCTGCAGGCAAACAGATAGGGAAGAAAGGCTCTAGGTAGATCAATATACCTTTTCACTTAAACATTTAAAATGGCTGAATTCCTGCTTCCTCTCCCTCTCCAAGACAAAGACTTGGAATGTATTTATCCAAAACCCAGAAGGAATTGTTGAATGGAACTTTCAAGCCTCCTGGGTCCTGTTGAGAGAAACAATTTCTTTCTTTGCCTGGAATATGCAATATTCTGAACTAACCCAAACAATCCAATTCTGAGAAAGGTAAGGGATTCACTCACTCTATGCCTCCAAAAGTTTTGGCTTTGCTAGATATTATCTTTGGGTTCCCTTCCCATTGGGGGAACCTGCCTCTTTGTGTGCTTTGGTGAGTGTGTGTTTCTTTATATTTTTCAGGGTTTATTGTATTTTATAAATATGAGTGTATTTCCTATATGTATGTATGTGCACCATGTGTATATGTCTGGTGCCCATGGATGTCAGAAGAGAGTACTGAATCAATCCCTTGGAACCAGAGTTACAGATAGTTGTGACCAGCCTGGTCTACAGAGCAAGTTCCATGACAGCCTCCAAAGCCACAGAGAAACCCTGTCTTGAAAAACAAAAACAAAACAAAACAGCAAACCAAAAACAAAAGCAAAAAACACCTCAAATCTCAGATAGGGTGTCCTTCAGTGGCTAGCAAGTGTCACTTCTAATTGCCTTGGTTTTTTTTTTTTTTTTCTTTTTTGCGGGGCAGTGATTTGAGGCAGGGTTTCTCTGTGCTCTGAAGGCTGTCCTGGAACTAGGTCTTGTAGACCAGGCTGGTCTTGAACTCACAGAAATCCACCTGACTCTTCTTCCCAAGTGGTGGGACTAAAGGCATGTGCCAACCCCCCCAAATTCTCCACTCTCCACTCCCCTACCTCTCCCTGCCCAGCTGCCTTGATTTGTTTTTTTCAAGACAAAGTTTCTCTGTAGATCAGGCTGGCCTTGAACTCAGAGATCCACCTGACTTTGCTTCCAAGTGCTGGGATTAAAGGCAGCCGATACTGGCAGCTTTTTTTTTTTCCCCTTGATTTGAATAATCACCTCAGGCCTTATTTGCTTAGTGGCTTATATGAGTTCCAAGTCAGATCCACATTTGTTGCCAGCTCTCAGACCCTCTGTAGTCGCCTCGGGTTTATACTCTGTCTAGGATTAAGGACATGTAAGGCATTCATTCTCAAAGTGTGATCCCAAGAACTAACAGGTCAATTTGGACGTCATTGAGACTGCAAATGATTGCAAGTCATCACACCTCATCTTAGTTAAACTTCTATTTGCTTTCATTAGTTCCTTAACCAAAAAAAAAAGTCAGTGGCAAGCAAATCTCAGTGAGTTTGAGACCAACGTGGTCTACAAAGCGAATCTCAAAAAAAAAAAAAAACCCTCCCTCAAAACAACAAAAACAAACAAAAATGAGCTCCGCATTGGTGTCACACGTCTTCAATCCCAGCACTTGGGAGGCAGAGGCAGGCAGATCTCTTGTGAGTTGGAGACCAGCCTGGTCTACTGAGTGAGCTCCAGGACAGGCTCCAAAACAATACAGAGAAATCCTGTCTCGAAAAACCAAAAAATAAAAAAAATAAAATAAAAAAAAACCAAATAAAAAAACAAACAAAAAACATTTTGACCAAAAGCAATTTAAGGGAGAAAAGCTCTATTTGGCTAAGCAGCCACCATCTTGGTGGTAATTCAGATTACCCCAGCTGGGTTTTCTGCCTATTGTCTCTCATGGAGGTCTGAGGGTATCATGCTATCATCACCAGAGAGAGTATCCATCCTCTCTGTTACATTGTATGCAACATTGCCTTTACTGCATGTGACCTGAGGGGCTCCATCTGTATGGCTACTGGGAAGCCTTCATCCCTGCTGGGTAAGGGCTTTCCAGACATGGCCTACTGAGGGGAAGGAACACCGTACCCCTGTAATTAACCCTGACCTATGCTCGGTAAGGAAGTGTAATAAGCTCATTGATTCTCCACAGATAACTTAGGTGGAATATCATCTTGATTTGTCATTGGGGCCTTAGGAGAAGGGGTAGATATTGCTTACACCTCCCGCTGGGAAAGAATTTTAACATCAGGCTTACTGGTTATGGTCCATCATCAGGGGGGAGACAAGAGAAGAATCTGGAGGCAGGAATTGAAGCAGAAGTCACAGAAGAACACTGCTTACTAGATTGCTTCCAGAGGCTTCCTCAAGCCTGTGTTCTTGCACCAGCCAGGACCACCAAGTAAACTGGCAACTCCCACATCGGTGTTAATCAAGAAAATGCCACACAAACCTGCCTACGGGCTAATCTGATGGAGGCAATCCCTCACCTGAGATTCCTTCTTCCCAGAGATGTCTAGGATTATATCAGATTGACAAAAACCACCAATATACATCCTGCCCTAGACTTACTGAATGAGTGGCTCTTTGGAGGACCTAGTAATCTGGGTTTAAACAGCACCAAGGGATTCTTTATTTCAAGACAGGGTTTCTCTATGTAACAGTGCTGGCTGCCCTGGACTCTGCCTTCTGAGTGCTCAGGATTAAAGGCCTGTGCCACCACTGCCCAGCCACTGAGGGATTCTTCTTTTTTAGACTATCTTAAACATTTTTTTTACTTATTTTTATTTCATGTGCATTGGTGTTTTTGCCTGCAGATATGTCTGTATGAGGGTACTGGATCCCCTGGAACTGTAGTTAGACAGTTATGAACTGTTATGTGGGTGCTGGGAATTGAAACTGGACCTCTGGAAAAACAGCCAGTGCTCTCAATTGCTAAGCCATCTTCCTGGCCCACTGAGGGATTCTTATGGGCACTCAACTTGCAAGCCCCAGTCTTTTCCATAAAATGGAGACACAGTCTCTTTCATGTAGCTTTATTGGGAGTGACATGGTGTTAGACATTATAGAACACTCCAGATTTCTCTGGAGACTATTCGCATTAATCTTGATTAGATTAAGAAACACCTAGTGCACCGGTTAAGTGGTTTAATACTGGCACTCGGGAGGCAGAGGCATTGGGATTTGGGAGGTCAAGGCCAGCCTGGTCTACAGAGTAAGTTCCTCAACAGCCAAAGATACACAGAGAAACCGTGTCTCAAAAACAAAATTGGACAGGAGGGGAGGGGAGGGAGAGAGAGAGACTGAGATTCCTAGGATATTAATGAGACACAACCTTAGGAATGCTTGCATCTTTCAGTTTTAACTGAGAAATGACCCATTCTGTAGCTGAGTGGCACTATTCTAAGAGCTTCCAGGTAGAAAAGAAGAGAGAGGTGCCGCTGAAAAGCTCATTCTCCTTTCTCTGCTTCCTGGTCAATACCTTGGCCCAAGCCACCTCCATCGCTGTGTCGTTCTTGTCATGGACTGACTGCATTCCTCTGAACTGTGAGCCAGAATAATAAATCTAGCCTCCCTTAATTTGCTTGGTCAGATTTTTGGTCTCAGAGGTGAAAAATTTGATAATATAGAGTCCACAAAGTTACAGTTTTGTTACTCAGGGGAGCTTCACAAACTAGCTGCTTGGTCTGCCCAGGCCCTTTCCAGGGTCTCTAGCTCGAGTATCACCCCATTGAGGTTCCCACCCCAAGCAACTGTCTTCACTATTCCCCCTGTATCCTGGTACTATTGTCTACCAAGGATGCAGACAGTAGACAGCCCACTCACCCTGTTACAGTCACCATTCCCCAGTGTGGCCCAGAGCAGCCTCCTTTATCCCTCCCTTAACTGTCCCCTAGCCTCAGGAGCTATCAGCTCTTGGTTTATCCCCACAATCTTTCTCTGCAAACCAGAACCACCAGTTTTTCAGGGAACCAGAACCAGGCCTGGTGTTTTTTTTTTTTTTTGTATTCGTAGTTCCTTGGAATGTGAGCATGGAGAAGAGAGGTGGCCGGGCGTTGGTGGCGCACGCCTTTAATCCCAGCACTCGGGAGGCAGAGGCAGGCGGATCTCTGTGAGTTCAAGGCCAGCCTGGTCTACAGAGTGAGTGCAAGGACAACCTCCAAAACAATACAGAGAAACCCTGTCTCGAAATGCCCCCCCACAAAAAAAAAGAGAGAAGAGGGGTGGAATCCCTGCTCCAGCTTCAACCTTCAGCCTGCTCACTTTGAGGGGCAGTTCTTAACATAATTGAGCCTCAGCTCTCTTACAAGAAAGGAGCAGCTATATGTAGTAGCCAGCTGCTCCTATTATCTCAGTAAACCCTAAATCTTTACCATGGTCTCTGTTCCTGCCTCATTGTGGGTCCCCAAGCACCTGTTTCCTGCTGCTCTTAGCTACCCCACTGGCTTCCTGGGGCACTCTCACCTCAGGGACTTTCATTTGCTCTCCTGTCTGGTATGCAATACTTTTATTGGGGTGGGAGGTTGAGGCAGGTTTCTCTGTGGCTTTGGAGTCTGTCCTGGAACTAGCTCTGTAGACCAGGCTGGCCTTGAACTCAGAGAGATCTGCCTACCTCTGCCTCCTGAGTGCTGGGATTAAAGCTATGCCTAGCCCTTATTTGTCACAAAAATCAAGATTTTCCTCGATGGGCGGTGGTGTCACATACCTCTAAAAACAACAACAACAAAAAGCAAAAGAAGATTTTGCTCAATGATCTCCCATTTCCCAAACCATCCATCCTAAAATGATACCTTGCCTCCACCCCTACCACCAATTTGCTAGCCCTAGGGAGGGTATAAAGAGCCTGGGGCTTCAGTTCCAAACCTCGTTGAAGAATTTGCAGCACCTTCGTTTTCATTGTCTGTAAAATGGGGCTGATGATAATAACCACCTCTCCACAATGTCGTGTGTTCTTTGCCAATCTTGAAATATTAGCTGTCAGGCACAATAGTAAATAAGGTTATGTTTGTAACTTAAGCAACTTCAAAAGAGTTTTATTAGGTAATATGACCACTGCAGAAGACTCACACCCACAGTCCTCTTAGGAACTTCACGCCCAGTCTCTCCAAATTCAGCGATACAGTCACTAGGAGAGAGGCTGACTTTTCTCAGACTGTGGACCCAAGGGCGGCAGGAGTGGAGCTAGGATGTGCCACACAGCACTCTGTCCTTTAAAACACAAATTTTCACGGCTTTGGGGCTTAGCTTTTGTTTGTCAGCTTTTTAAAATTTTTTTTACTTAGACTGTTTTCCATCTTTGTTTGTTTTGAGACAGGGTTTTTATGTAGCCATGCCGGCTGTCCTGGAACTCTGTAGACCATGCTGGCCTTGAATTCAGATTCCTCACCTGCCTCTGCCTCCTGAGTGCTGGGATTAAAGGTGTGCACCAATGCCGCCCAGCATTGTTTTTCAGTTTTTTGTTTTGTTTTCTGAGACAGGGTTTCTCTGTTCCAGGAGAAGCTCTTCTCCTGGAACTAACTCTGTAGACCAGACTGGTCTCAAATTCACAGAGATTCACCTGTCTCTGCCTCCTGAGTACTGGGATTAAAGGTGTTCACCACCACAGCTGTTTTTCAACTTTTTTTTTTTTTGGTTTTTCGAGACAGGGTTTCTCTATGGCTTTGGAGGCTGTCCTGGAACTAGCTCTTGTAGACCAGGCTGGCCTCGAACTCACAGAGATCTGCCTGCCTCTGCCTCCCAAGTGCTGGGATTAAAGGCGTGCGCCACCAACACCCAGCTTGTTTTTCAACTTTTAACTAAACTTTATTGTAGCATAATTCACAAATTCCATCACCCTTATGTCACTTGGCAGTTCATTCCTACCCTAAAGTCAACTACTGACATTTCTGCTTCCAAAGGCTAGTGAGTACACTTTATATTAATAGAATCATACACTATGTAGTATTCCCACCCCATTTTTAGAGGTGAAGCTAAAAGGTGAATAAACATAAACCAAACCCATGAAAAGGCACAATTTGAGGTATTCTACCATTTCCTACTAAAATCATCGCCACATAAAATATATTTTCACCCCAAAAAGATTTTCCCTCTATTTTCCATTACCCACTCTCTAACATAAATTTCTTTCCAGAACTGTGTAAGAGTCACCCACCACGTGTTCTTTTGTGCCTGGATTCCTTCACTCAGCATTAATTTGATCCATCCAAGCTGTTCACTCTCAATTCTACTTTTGTTCCCATTGTATGGAAATGATACAATTTGTCTTTTTATTTACTAATGAACACAGGAGTGTCTTCCAGTTTCTGGACTCTCATGGGAAGAGGCACTATGAATAGCTTGATACAAAAGTCTATTTGTGAATCTAAGTTTCATTTATCTTGGGCAAGTACCTAGTCATGGCATTAGCTGCACCACAGGCAGACATACATTTAACTTTGAAAGAAAATGACTTTTAAATTTTTATTTATTATTGTGTGTGTTTTGCTTTGTCAATCTCTGTGCTTAGAAGATAGAAAATGCTCATAAATGTTGGCTAGCAAGCCTAACAGGAAGTGAAGGTTACCTTAGTAATTTAAACAAGTTCAAAATAAAGAATAAAATCTGAATCCAGGGTTTATCAGGTGCTTCAGCAGCTGCAGAAGACTCACAACTTTCAATCCCCTGTTTTCACCTCCAATCTCTGTGTGATTGTGAGCACCAGGGTGGAGTTGATTTTCTTCCTACCTTCTTGTGGGCTCAGGGAATTGAAATCAGGTTACCAGGTTCACTTGGCACATAACTCTACCACAGAGCCATCAATCACCCAGGTTGTTTTACATTCTAGTAGTCTCTCTCTCTTTCCATAGACAGGGTTTCTCTGTCGCTTTGTAGACCAGGCTGGCCTCGAACTCAGGGATCCGCCTGCCTCTGCCTCCCAAGAGCTGAGATTAAAGGCGTGCGCCACCGTCGTCAGGCTTCTAGTAGGCTCTTTAATTGACTAAAGTTTAGTGCCAGTCTTGTTCTTATGGTATCACTTGTTTCTTCTCCCTGCAATGTCCCCACTAGTTACAGCATGATTCGATTCTTGTCATTGATTATGCAGACCAATGTCATTCTCCTGAGAGTACTACCAAATGAGTTACACTCCCACCTCAAAATCAAATAAAGTCACAACCCCCAATAGCTTATAAAGCCATATTTGGAGATAACACCTTTTAAAAAGATTAAATTATCAAATGTGGTGGCACACACCTTTAATCCCAATACTTGAGAGACAGAGACAAGCAGATCCCTGAGTTCAAGATCAGCATGGTGTACAGAGGGTGTTCCAGGACAGCCAGGGCTGCACAGAGAAACCCTGTCTCTAAATAATAGCAAGCAAAAAACCAACAACAAAGAAAAGAAGTTGAAATTAAAATAAGGCTGTTGGATAATCCTAATCCAAGGGGATGGGGACTGATGACTGGTATAATATTGAACTAGAATGGAAAGGAAAGGCATATTAAACAAAAACATGGTATTGTTAACGTTCCTGATCTTGATCACTGTATTGAGACTGTGCAAGAATATCTTTGTCCTCAGGAAATAAAATATATAGAGATAAAGGAGTATGACATCTAAATTTAACAGGATTTATAAAAGGATATACACATACATAAACGTATACATTCTTATGTTCACAGAACATGAAAATATAGCAAAACAATGCAATTCTGACAAAAAGGGGGAGACTTCTCTACTATTGTTACACTTTTGTGTACACTGACACTGAACATACACAAAGTTAGAGGTTTTCTGTGCTCGTGGTATCTTAAGACGTCTGCCCCCAAATTCCAGAAACTCTAGTTCATTCTTTTATGGTACATTTAATCTATCATGTTTGACTACAATGTTTACCATTTATTTTGCAAAACTCTGTTCTGGTCTCAGTACTTTAACTCTGTAACCTCTATGAAGACACAGGTTGACTGTCTCCTCCAGTGGCAAAGAACCACAATTAAGGCAAAGGATGTCATGCCCACTGCCCTTTCCCCAGACTTAAAAACAGCGTGTAGCAGAAACTCCAGTTATGTCCTTCAATATTTGGAGATTCAGCCACCAAATATTGGATGTCTTCTAGGCACTGGGGTACAAAGCAGGGCACAAAATATTTAAAAGCCCAAGCATAAGGGCTAGGGGTGTAGCTCAGTTGGGAAAGTACTTGCCAAGCATGCACAAAGCCCTGGGTTTGATTCCTAACACCGTTTAGGGTGTGGCGGAGCAGGCCTTTAATCTCATTACTCAGGAGATGAAGCCAGGAGGAAAAGTTCAAGATCATTCCTTTTTGTTTGTTTTATTTTTCGAGACAGGCTTTTTCTGTGGGTTTGGAGGCCGTCCTGGAACTAACTCTTGTTGACCAGGCTGATCTCGAACTCACAGAGATCCACCTGCCTCAGCCCCCAAGAGATGGGATTAAAGGCGTGTGCCACCACCCACTCGAAAGATCACAGGCATTGTGTGCTCCCTCCCCCTACAACAGGCGACAGGGGTGGAAGGGATCCCAAATCCAAGCCCAAAGCAGCTTATATCGGGGCACTCAGTTAGTCAGTCATCATATTTCACTTGGTCTTTTGCAACCTGGGAAGTGAGGACCACCCTGTTTGGCAGAGAAGGATATTGAGGATTACGAGCGGCTGAGATCTCTGGGATCATTAGTGGGCGTGAGGATCAGTATTCCAACCCAGGCCTGAGCTGTGATCAATCAAATTTAAGCCATTCACCCAATCAATATAAAGTGCCGGCGTGGAGCTACCATGCAAGTCAGACGCGGAGACGAGTTTGCAGAGCGCAGACGACTCGCGAGGGCCCTCAGTACAGGTCGCAGGATTTTGGCGCGCTCTTTTTGTTGGTTGGGTGTCCTCGCCGGTGATTGGTTCCGTGCTGTGGCGGCTGCTGGGTCGACCTCGGTTGCACAGAGGCCGCGCAGCCCTCGTCTGGCCTCCTGGGGGATGGGCCACCAGGAATCTCCACTGACCAGAGCAGCGGCGGGAGGTGCGGCTTACATAAAGAGGTTACGTAAAGCGCTCAGCTGGCGCGAACTCGAGGACAGACACGGGGATCTGGAAGCCGGGGCCTCCCCCGGGAGCGTTGCTGTCACCACAGGAGCCGCGCTGCGACCGAACACACGTCCCGCTCGGGTCTCCGCCTCGCGCTCTACTCGGCTCCGTAGACAAGCCCGGCTCGGAACGGACCATCCTCGGGCGCGGGCTCCAGGGGGGAACCGGCCCGCCCGGAAGTGGAACAGCGCCGGCCAGGTAAGGGCGAATGGAGAAGCAAGGGACGGAGCGGGAGAGCCAGCACCCCTCTGGGCTCGGGGAGGGCAGTCGGGGTCGCGGTTTGCTCTCGGAAGCCGAACTTTTGCCAGTCTCCACCCGCTGTCCCCAGGGGCTTGGGTCGACCCACTGGGCTCGGTTAGGTTTAATTCAAAGGACTGTTTACACCGGGAGAACTCCGGTAGGACGCGGGGAGGGGCTGTCGGGAGGGAGCTGAGCGCCCGGAAAGCTTAAGCAGGCCGAACCGTCTCTGGAGACGGTTGTCTTAGATTGGGAATGTCCCCACTGCTTTTTTCCCCCCTACTGTTGACGGGTAAATCAGTGGAGAAAGTGGACGGTTTGTGTTTCGGCTTCCGGTCCTCCCTCTGTACTTCCCTGTGGTTCCGTCTTTCCCGCTTTCCTTTCCCCTCCCCCGTTCAATCCGAGGCGGTGGCTCCTTCTTAAAGGGGCCGCGACCGGCGGCGGAGGTGGGACGCTGGACACTTTCAGCTCCTTGTCTGCCTAGTGGCTTTAACTGATTGTTTCGCCCTCAGATCACAATCCAAGGTACCGCTCCTCCACATCTCGGGGCTAGACGGAGGGATGAGGCAGGGGGGGCCCGGGCGGCGCCGTTGCTGCTCCCCCCGCCTCCCGCAGCCATGGAAACGGGGAAGGAGGACGGAGCCCGCAGAGGGACAAAAAGCCCGGAGCGGAAAAGGCGAAGCCCAGTACAGCGGGCGCTCTGCACGAAGCTGAGGCCGGCGGCCCAGGCCATGGATCCAGCTATGGTCGAGGCCCCGGGCGAGGCCTTCCTGGCCCGGCGGCGGCCGGAGGGCGGCGGCGGCGGAGGTGGTCCTGCGCGGCCGCGCTACAGCCTGTTGGCGGAGATCGGGCGCGGCAGCTACGGCGTGGTTTACGAGGCTGTGGCTGGGCGGAGTGGGGCCAGGGTGGCAGTCAAGAAGATCCGCTGCGACGCCCCCGAGAACGTGGAATTGGCACTAGCTGAATTCTGGGCCCTGACCAGCCTGAAGCGCCGTCACCAGAATATCGTGCAGTTTGAGGAGTGCGTCCTGCAGCGCAACGGGTTAGCCCAGCGCATGAGTCACGGCAACAAGAACTCACAGCTGTACCTGCGCCTGGTGGAGACTTCACTCAAAGGTTAGAATACAGGAGGCAGCCCTGCCCTCTCCTGGACCCCCTTGTTCTCAGAACTTCACAACTTGACTTCAGCACTCAGGTCCTTGCCCAGGCTTTGGGACTGTCTCTTCTCTGAATGCTGCAAACATCAGTCTGCTCCCCTAAACGTTAGCTGGCATTCCATAAAGTACTCACTTAGTAGGTGTGAGCCATAATTTACAAGTCTAGCACTTTAAAGATGGATAAAGAGTAGGATTCAAAAGTTATTGGCAGAACTGTAGAGCCCCCTCATGCCTCTTTTCAAAACATTGAGGACCCACCCATGCTCTCTCCTGGTTTTTAGTTTCCTGATGTCTTCCATCCCCGTTCCCGAACTCTTACTTCCAAGTATGGTTTCCTCTGAGAACCCCAGCCCTTCACCCTAGGGCAGACAATCATTCAGTTGGTTCTCCCTTAGTCCCAGAGGCATGCCTAGAGTAATAACCCCCACAGGTGGGCCAAGAGCTTAGGATAACAAAACAGGTTACATCTTTTCCTGCCACTTTACAATCCCCGTAGTTTTCATAACCTCTAGGGATGACTGAGAAGTGGTTTTGTAAAAAACAGGGCTACTTGAGGCCAAAGGGGCTTGCATTCTTGGGTGAACTACATGAGTTAGTCCAGGGCTTCCTGGGAGAGTCCATGGGAAAAATGACCAGTCAAAATCCCAACAATAATGTGAGCTCTAAACAATTTTAGTTAATATCTGTAAAAGTAAATTCTGTCTCCATCCTATAAATAGAGGAACTAAGGCTTAGAGGGGAATAGATACTTGATTAACCTTAATCAGCTTGGAAGGGGTGGGACTCTCTAGCTTCAAATTCCTATGTCCTTGAAGCAGAAATGTTTTCAACCCAGACTGCTCTGAACTCAAAGATCTTAGCAGATGTAATGCTGCTTTCCCTACCTCAGGATAGGTAGGACTGGATAGGGTGATTTCCTAAAGCCTTTTTGGAGAAGCCCATGTGGAGTTTTGAAGTAATTTCACAATGAATTGGATGGTGTGATCTAATTCTCTGGGGGCTCTTTCCCATACTGCTTGTGTCTTCTGAAAAGGCTATCACTTCTAGGATGGTGGGTGCTTTTTCTTTTTTAAAGGCTTCTAGGGAGAGTTCTATTTTGCCTGCATTCTCATCACTTACTTTCTTAGTCCTTTATACACCAATTTCTTCATAGAGTACAAATGAATGAAATATACTTAATGAATGGTGGTATTTTCATATTTCAACACCCTGGAGTTTGGGGCTTACATACAGTCCTGGCTTGTTCTGAACTGATACATGACACTGGACAAGTTAAACCCATGAAGGGAGTGACTTAATACTAAAGTGGGGTATCTCTGTCATGAGGTCGTTGGGCATGCTGGGGATGTCAGTAATAGTCCCAAAGGAATTTACTCACTGCCTATTAAGTTCAGACTACTTCTGGATTTCTTCCATATTCATCCTCTTAGAGATTGAAGTTCTTACTGAAGTTTCCCAAACTTTGACTGTGGGGTCAGAATAATAGGTTGAAAACAATACTCGTTTTTTTCAACCTCCCGTTGTGAGCTAAAACTAGATAATTTCATTATTCATTGGGCCACATACTTAATATTTATTCGTTTAAATTTGGAGTCTTAATATGCATTTGCCTCTTATGAAAATGACAGTTTAGCTTATATGTCAAATGTCAACTTAGCAAAGAAAATAGTACCTAGCCAACTTTAGCTTACTAACACTAAAAGTATGTGTCTTATTTTCCTGGGTTTTTAAGTATGCTGTCCAGTGATAGCAGACCTGAAAGGATTTCTAGAGATAACCCAGGGATAACTTTCCTTAAGCACAGGAAAGTTCTTTACAGCCGTTCTTTTGCCCTCTTTCTTACAAATTCAGAATTATTTTGAGTTAGGCCAAAATGGTTATCTACATTGGCATCTTTTCAAACAAACTTTTTTACTGCACGCCTCAGGTAAAATTGGAAGGGAAAAAAAAACAAAACACATTTTATAGCCTTTATGGGTATTTGGAAAGTTTGAAGGCATGGTGATCAGGGTCACTCTTCAGTGTGAAGGGTTAACTCATTAACCAGGGCTTTGTAGAGAGAATTAAGAGAAAAAGAAGAGTTAGCAGAACAGGTGATCTTGAGAGGCTAGTGCCCATGCCTCGAGTGGAAGAGTATTAGACCAAGAGAATAGTTTATTTCCCCTTTTACTTCAGCTTCTAGCGAATACACAGAAAGCATTTTTGTAGTGTACAGAAATAACTTGATGTACAAATAAGTATCCACAATAAATAGATTATAGAAAACACAATTAGAAAAACAATGTTCTTGGTCCTATCCCACTCTGTTAGCTTCTGTGCCTCAAATTCATCTCTTCTGAGCATGGACGGAATGAGTCCCACCAAGAAGTACAGTGTGGTCAGAATAGCTTATATCTCCTTTGACCTTTTGTGGGGGAGCACCTTATGGGGGTAGCTCAGGCTGGCTTCAAATTTACTTTGTAGCCAAAGATGACTTTGAACTAATGATTCTCTGCCTGGAGTACTAGGACTAAAGGTGTGTACCAAAATTCTTGGTTTATGTGCTGTTGAGGAGGAAACGGACGACTTTTGTGCATGCTGGGTAAATACTTTCCGAACAGCCTTCTGTCCCCAGCCCTTAGCCTCTGTTTCATAGGATTTGCTAAAATAAAACACTGGCACAACACTGGCTCTAGGGCTTTAAAAATGTATTACCAACCCTGTAAATTTGGGTTATTAACTGTCTTCAACTTTGAAGTCCTTCAAAAGTCCTTCAATGAAAAGGGGAATAAAGGCATCAGCAGTTGCTTTTATCACCTTGTTTTCCATCCGGAGAAACCTCTGTCCTGAATGTACCTAAAACAAAGCTTAAGGTCATTGCCACTTAGAAAATAGCAAGCAAGCCTCACTCCTTTTCACACTCAGAAACTTGTTGCTCTAGTCTAAATCCTTCTGACAAACAGGTGAAGATTGGCCCCCCCATGTACCCTAAGCACTGGTTCTCATAAAACTAGAAATTTAGAAGAGCTGGGAGACCAGCTTAGTTATTTGATAAGCTCTGATGTCTACCCAAAATGCTTTAGGTAGCTGAAGATGGGTTTGACCTAGGCAGTCTTTACTGCATACCAATGCTGCTGTAAGCCGGGTTGCTGTATAAGAGGCTTTTGCAGGCTTTCCTTTATAAGTCCTGTATATCTAAGTGATTATGCTGCAAGGTCACAAGTGGTGGCATCCTAATAAACAGGTTCTTGTTGAGAGTTTCATTAGTGGTGTAGCAAGGCAGGACCAAAAGTAGCTGACATGAGACTTAGTGTAGGGTTCCTGAGTCTGCAAATGAATTAACTGCAAACTTCCTGGCCACTAAGTGCCTAAGGAAACCAACCTTACGAGCTCCAACCAGGGTAGTTATCTTTTGCCCAGGCTTCAACAAAGCAACTCTGTGGCTTGGCCTTAGAATTTAGAGACCTTTCAGGTAGACAGAATTGTATGGTCTTCGGCTATTTTGACATAAATAAAAGTGGCATTGGTGACTTTCAAAATTAATGGGATACAGTAGAACATGGATTTAGGGTCCAAAGGTCTTGTTCCCAATTTTACTAAAATTTACTGGATGAAGCCAACTGTCGTGGCTCATCTGTAATCTCAGCACTTGGAGGATGAGGTAGGAAGATTGCTTTGAGCTCAGGGTCAGCCAGGTCTACAGAGTGAGTCCTAAATCACTTGGACTGAGAGTGAGACTGTCTGAGGAACAGATAAAACCTTGACGCTGTGTCAAGTGCAGTTGTAAAAGCTTCATAACAGCTCATTCTGCCTTCATGACCATCTTTTGAAATGGATACTGTGAGTGTCTTTTGCAGGTGATGTATCCAAAACTACTGAAGTGGATAAAGCTGTATAGTGTAGAATAGCTAAACAAGTAACACAACCAGCATTCAAGTACAGACCTTCTGAATTGTCTTGCAACTGCTAAGGGGGTATGCCTGAGATGTGGCTTCAGGTTCAGAGTTGTGTTTTGTTTTGCTTGTAAAATATGTGTAATTATACTTTACTAACAGGATTTAGTACTAATGTATTAATAATTCCTAATTGCTGCTGTTTGTGTTGAATTATGTTTTATTGGTGCTTATTGCATTACTTTCTCTTGGTGTCTTCTGTATCTCAGCAGCCAGATATTGCACCTGCTTTCTGACCTGTTCTTGGATGCCTTTGAGGCAATTGTACAGACTTTTCTCACTACCAAGTGTTTTCCTTCTATGTGTAGGGATTTTAGGAGCCAGCCCCAGGAGATAGAAGCCACCCTGTGTTAATTGAGAACATTGGTTAATTGGGGTGGCATTAGGTAAGGTTTTTTATAGGGTAAACTCTCAGGGAGAGCCTAACTTCCCTTGTAGAGTATCAGTTCACCTTGAATTTGCCCTTCAGCCCTATCCTTAGGGCTAGGAATCCTCCTGAGTGACTCAAATTCTCCATCCTCATTTAGTTGCATCCTGATGAGTAGCTCTCACAAAGCACATTTAAGTCAATCAAAATCCTGTACCATAAAAAGGAATGTGTAGTTTCTGTAGTTGGATAATCCAGCACTAGGAACTTGATGAAACATGTTTGGTGTATGCAAGAGCCTTCGTATAAGGAGCTCGCTCGTGTAGCAAGGAAAATAGAATATTCAAGTGTGAAATTGCTGCTAGCACCATGAAACAATAGAGCTTTGATTGAGAACTTCTGAATCCTGCCCCCAATTAGCTTCAAGACTCAATCTTTTGAGCCTCAGTCTTCTCACCTGAAAATAGGGTATAGTTGTCAGGGTTAAGGGTGTAGTTATCAGGGTTACAGTGTGGAGTGGAGACAGTTGGAGAGAATGCTTTGAATTCCTTGATTATCACAGGAGATTAGTTAACTAAATTCTGATGTAGACCGTAATCTTTTACCCCGTCTCTTTACAGCTTCCTCCCTTGGCTACCCTCACGCAGTTTCAGAGCCTCCTAGTGAATGACTTCTTAGCTGCTCATCTGTGTCTTTGTCTCTCAGCCTTCACAAGGAACTTGTTCATCCATTGTCCAAGATACGCCCTTGCACTTCTTGACCTCTGTGGTCTAACTAGAATGTAGACTTCAGCTGTCACAGCCCAGGAATGTGGTGTTTGTAGGTGGAGCAATCTACCTTTTTGGTTTCTAAATTTCCTGTTTTGCATAACATGTCACATAATTTATGAACTATATAGTACTGGGAAATTATTTCCAAGCTGAGTGTGGTGGCACACCTGTAATTCCAGTACTGCCCATACCTGGGCTACATAGCAAGACTGTCTTAAACAAAACAGATTTCAGGGCTGGAGAGATGGTGCAGAGGTTAAGAGGATTCTTCCAGAGGACCTTAGTTTGGTTCCTAGCATCCATGTCTGGTGGCTTACAGCTGCCTGTAACTCCAGCTGGGGGGATGTGATGCCCTCTTCTGGTTTCTGTAGTTGCATGCCTCCCCCACCCCCCCAACACCCACTAAGGACCTAAGTTTGGGTGGTAATGAGGATGTTAGTGATGGTCAGTAGCTAATTCTCTGAAAGTATCTTATGATCTGTAAAAGTTCCATACAAGTGTCTTAGTTTGTTACTTGTCAGGTAATGTTAAATTCTCAAATTTGATGGATAAGAATTCTGAAGTTCAGAGTTCAGGGATTTCCCCTAAGGTTCTGGTTGCCTTTCATTTGTGCCAATGAGCGAATTCATTAGACCAAAGGGGTAGAGTTGGGGTCTGCAGTCACTCAGACTCTATTTCCTGGTCTGTGCTTTTCCTGTTTTCATTTTGGCTTGCTTCTCCATGGAAATTCACTTAATATCAGACACTGTGTCTTCTCCCTTGATCTTGGTCATGGGTTAGCAGAGGCCATGCAGGTAGTCTACTTGAAGAAAGGACAGTATCCTAATGTCTCTTCTGTGTTTTCATGTGGGCAGTTCCAGGAGAGCATGCTTCCCTCGAAGGAAGCCCAGACTCGTCTGCTCAGAGAAGTAATCCCGCCGTTTTTCCATTCGTCTCAGTCATTGTTGTTGCCCGGGTTCTGAGAATGCTGCTTATGTCCAGCATTTCTGTCAAAGTGCTCCTGAAACATCTTTAGACTATCTGGCCCACCCATAGACTAGCTTAGAGCAATTTTTATCTAACTTTTCTTTCCCTAGATTCTTCCCCCCCCGCTGAGACAGGGTTTCTCAGTATGACAGCCATAGCTATCATGGAACTCCCTTTGTAGACCAGGCTGGCCTTGAACTCAGATCCACCTGGGATTAAAGGCATGTCCTACCAACGCCCCAGCCTTTTCCTGGATTCTTACAACCTAGATCTGTGTTGTTGTTCCTTTGGCCAACTTGTTTTCTTTTATTCCCTTTAGTTACCATAGTTACCAGCTTTGTGTATAAAATAATAATTTCCCTATCCATGTCTCCTATTAGGAGTTTAGTTGCTATCTGATGTGGTCTTTGCAGAAGGAATTTGATGGCTTTCTTCCATGGCTGTACTGTGGGGAACATTTCTTGCTGTCCCTTTTCTGTCTGTTTCTCTTACCATATAGATGGGTTTGGGCTTCAGGTTGTGGCTTCATTTTTCAGTTTTTTGTTTTTTGTTTTTGGTAGACTCAGCCTGCTTTTGAGTGACCAAAAGAGGATTATAGAGCAGTGATTGTGGGGGTGAGGGAACAGTTCAACACTGATTGTAAAAAGTGCCATGTGCCCTGAACTGGTTCTGTCAGTATTACTTTGCTTATGACTAATATAAACAAATTGTACAACTACAAGGGAAGTGAAGTCTGTCAGATTGTGGTTAAAACCAAAAACTGTTGTCATGTCTCCTATCTGACTTTGGTAGACTTTGTACCTTATTGATTTAAGGGCTACTGAGGAAGCAGAGACTCATCTGGCTTATTTATTGAATCACTGTAGTGTGGTACTGTAGTAAATGACTAGGAAAAAGACTCCTTCCAGAGGCTGAAGATATGTTAGCCTTGTCTTTTGGGACATAGCATATGCTGAGCCAAAGGGACCTGTTTTCTTGACTTACTTAACAGATGACCAGTCAGTCTATAGTCTGTCTTACACCTTTTTTGTTTTTGAGACAAAGTCTCAACTATAGCCCTTGGCTGTCCTAGAACTTGCTGTGTAGACCAGGCTGACTTCAGATTCTTAGAAAGCTGCCTCCCTCTGCCTCGCAAGTGCTAGGATTAAAAGCATATATCCGCACGCACACAATAGGATCTGTCTTTTCTACTGTCAAAATAAGACACCTGTTTGTTTGTTTGTTTTTTGTTTCTTTTTTTTTTGGTTTTTCGAGACCGGGTTTCTCTGGCTTTGGAGGCTGTCCTGGAACTAGCTCTTGTAGACCAGGCTGGCCTCGAACTCACAGAGATCTGCCTGCCTCTGCCTCCCGAGTGCTGGGATTAAAGGCGTGTGCCACCAACGCCCGGCTGACATCTGTCTTTTTGTACTTAGTTTATAGAGCATTTATTATCCAATAACTTTCACATAAGAACTCAGCATTTCATCAGGTGCTTTATAAAGAATGTTGGGAATGACATGCAAGTGCCAGTCATGGGCTTTCCTGGTTTTGAACCCACACAACCCAGTACTGCCTTATGTGTCTGCTTCAAAATTTTCCTACTCATATCTCCCATTTAGACTTTCCTGGCCCACTTATCCACAGTGTCCATTGTCCTTTTCATCTCTGCCTGGAGTTCTTGCATGTGTGCCGATCTTCGATAGAAGTTGACCTTATTGCCAACATTACACTTACGATAATTGCTGTCAAGTACCTGTGCCAGAGGCATGTAGACCTGGCTAGAACTAGACATATGGTGAACTAGCAGAAGATGTGCATGAATTGGAGTGTACATCTGAGATAAAACCATAATGTCCTTGTGTTAAGGAGAGCAAAGAATACGGGCCTGGTATGGATTAGCAGTCGTAGAAGCTGGGCCAGTAATTAAATGGCAATAGCAGAAACAGCACACACTTTACAAAGCTCATCTTGTATTCTTTTTATTATCATTCCAGCAGCCCTGCAAAGAATGGATAGACTTGTACACCAGTTTGAAAAAATAATAAATAAGCAAAATGGCCTCAAGGCCAGCTAAAATAATAGATGGCAGTAAACTTAGGTTCTTAAATTCCAACCCTAGGTGCTTGACACCAGTCCCTAATGCCTCTGCCATGCCTTGACTTGTTCTACACGGGTAGAAGTGGACTGTGGGCATAAAATTTGCTTGGTGCCAGTTGTGTAGGTCCTCTTGGCACAATTATTTATCACTGTCTTCTTTAATCTAGTGATGTGAATGTCCACTCAAGCTCTTTCCTGTCCTTTGGTTTAGGAGAAAGGATCCTGGGCTATGCTGAGGAGCCCTGCTATCTCTGGTTTGTCATGGAGTACTGTGAAGGTGGAGACCTCAATCAGTATGTCCTGTCCCGGAGACCAGACCCAGCCACCAACAAAAGCTTCATGCTACAGCTTACAAGCGCCATTGCCTTCCTGCACAAAAACCACATCGTGCACAGGGACCTAAAGCCAGACAACATCCTCATCACCGAGCGGTCTGGCACCCCCATCCTCAAGGTAGCAGACTTTGGACTGAGCAAGGTCTGTGCAGGGCTGGCACCTCGAGGCAAAGAGGGCAATCAAGATAACAAAAATGTGAATGTGAATAAATACTGGCTGTCCTCAGCTTGTGGCTCAGACTTCTACATGGCTCCTGAAGTCTGGGAGGGTCACTATACAGCCAAGGCGGACATCTTTGCCCTGGGCATTATCATCTGGGCAATGATAGAAAGAATTACTTTTATTGACTCTGAAACCAAGAAGGAGCTCCTGGGGACCTACATTAAACAGGGGACTGAGATCGTCCCTGTTGGTGAGGCGCTGCTAGAAAACCCAAAGATGGAGTTGCACATCCCCCAGAAACGTAGGACTTCCATGTCTGAGGGCGTGAAGCAGCTCTTGAAAGACATGTTAGCTGCTAACCCACAGGACCGACCTGATGCTTTTGAACTTGAAACCAGAATGGACCAGGTCACATGTGCTGCTTAAACTCCAGGGCTGACCGTCTTGGGTGTTTTTAAACTAGGTGAGTGCTCTCTTGTTATTGTGCACACACTCTCCCTGGGCTGGCTGTGTGTGCTGTACTGGGTTGGACTCTGGTGTTGTAGAGAAAATACAGATACCAGTCTTGATGAGTAGACATTGGTCAGATTATTTATTTGAGTACAAAGTGGGAAGTGAATTTTTTAAGAGGAAATTATAGAGGCAGAATCTCCCAAGATCTTTAGAAATACCTTTTCTTATTATCAGGTAATACATTCTCCCTGTAAAATGGTGCTGAAAGGAATACAGTTTTCAGAGAAGGAACTTTGTCCCAGCTGTGTTTTAGCTGTTCATGTACCCAGGACTATCCATGTGGGACCTGATGCTGGAGGACTTGAGAGAATACACCAGTTTGGTTTAGGGTGGAATATATATTATATAGATATTAGAGATAGAAGAGGACAGGAACCAGCTAGGATAAAGAACAGTATCCAGAGATGATTTTTCTACCCGGAACAGTTAGACTAGATCAGAGTCTGAGGTGTGGATAAGACAGCGTGTTAGAAATTGACCAACATATATGCTAGATATTGCACATACTGTAAGTCACTTATCCCGCTGCCCATTAAATTAAGGGTAAGTATATCTTACCTGAATTTACCTGCCCTCTTTTCCTGGATTATCAAGATGACAGAAATAAACTGTACTTAGAGTTTGCTGATGTCTTGATGCAGTGATGGGGTAGTGTTGGTTTCATTCTAACAGGGATAGGCTAACAGGCACAGGGCCTGCTTCTCTGTTCCTCCATACCTCTGCAGAAGATGACTTGTGCTGAGCCAAGCAGCTTACACCTGTCTTGTTCTCAGTGGAGATGGCTGGCTAGTGCTTTAAGAGTGTTTCTTACCTTAGCTTTAAGCTTCTATCTTAGCCTTTGCATTTGAAAAGACCTCTTGGAATTCAAATTTTCCTTGTATAAGAGGTTGTCATTGGGAAGGAAAAGAACCTGAATTTAGGTGAGGATTATGGGAGTGCCTCATTAGTTGAGATCTGGGCCTTTATTTGGATCATTGAATGAGATTTGTGTTGATTACAGGGCAAATTATAGCTAAAGAGTAGTGACTTCATCTACAAGAAATAAGTGACTTTGAGAGGAGCAAGGAAAGGTTAGGGACTTCTTCTGGGTGTGTGTCCTTTTGCTGTCTGACGACTAATGGGTGCAGTGCTTGTGGTGCCAGTTTGACTGGCCTGCTTTGCCCTGTCCTTGCAGAGCACTTTGAATTGTGGGCCTGGGCCCAGCTGTGTGACTGGTGCCTCAGGCTTCAGTGATGTTGTCAGATGAGCAGTGTCTACTTAGCTAGAGAATCAGAGGCTAGAGCTAGAGTGAGTAGTTATTGTTTGTTGCTGCTTTTGTAACAATGAGAAGAGGGAGAAACAGCACTTTTTTTTGGGCTAGAAGGTAGCATTCCTTCAGAGAGGTAATTGGCTATAAGCAGTGGAGGGATTGGGTCTTATTTCTGTGGTTTATTACCTAACATGCATATTTTATAGGGTTTATCAAAGTGCCCCACACAAATTGTTTCAGTGAAACACTAGTTTTAGGTGTGTATTTAGCAAAGGTGAAGGCATCCTGGTGTTAGTAGCTTTCTTTAAGAACATTAGGTAGTTTGTCTTTAACACAAAGCCAACTTGCCCTGTTGATTGTTCTAGAAGGGCATGTCTGTATTTAACAAGTGCTCAGTAAGTCCTATTTTAGTCTCTTATTTGTCACTTTTTTTTTTTTGTTTTTGTTTTTTCGAGACAGGGTTTCTTTGTATTGCTTTGGAGGTTGTCCTGGAACTTGCTCTGTAGACCAGGCTGGCCTAGAACTCACAGAGATCTGCCTGCCTCTGCCTTCCACGTACTGGGGTTAAAGGCATGCGCCATTAATGCCTGCCCTTATTTGTCACTTTCAGAGGAGTAATTTTAGTGAATCCTATCAGTCACAAGCCTTATCTCATGCCGGAATCCATCCTGGTGCTATAACTCACTCTTTACACCTCTGTGTTAGTAACCAAACCTGTAGTCCAGTACACAAATTTCTGTTTCTAGGGCCTTTTGAAGCCAAGCTCTTGGGTGACATACGTTAAGAATTGACAGCTAAAGCCTGCTGAGGGAAATCAGATGTTGATGTGACCCAAGGTATCTGTGGAGGGTAGGGGTCATAGAAAGTATCCTTCACTCCATATGAGGTCTTGGTAGTTGCTTCTTAATATTAACAACTAACCCTGGTCATAGAGCCAATAAGGTATAGACTCTAGATTTTAACTCAGGTCTTAAGATAGATATCTTCATAATTGAATCCAGTGAATAATTTAGCATGGATCAGCCTGACTTTGGCTGTCTAGCTCTAAGCATTCTTAAGTGCAGAAAAGGGCAACAGACTTGGTTAGAGTTAGGGTTAGGGTTAGGGTGAGATAGTTTCTTCTGTGAAACTTAGTGTCTTGGTCCAAGACAGGCCTCAAGGAAAGGTGTGTTGCTAAAGGTCCAAGGCTTCTGGTTTCTATCCCAGAAGCTGATTTTAACCTCAGTCTCTGGAGCACTGAATTGGATGCAAACACGCACATGCACGCAGCCTGAGGGACTTGCCACTCAGAGGGGTGTGGGGGTTCTGTATTAACTTCTTTTGAGCCCCTATCTATATAGCAGGGGCAAAGACTGTGTCTTACTGGGTCTCACTAGCATTTCAGAGCTGTGCCAAGAGAGAACTTTGAGGGAAGATGCTATATTTGGTTCTTTTCTTGTCCCAGGAAATAAAACTTGCCTTTGACTTGATGACTTTGGCTTAGATACCAGTGCATACACATGTCCCTTGCGGCCTTATCTTTCTATGTTTTAGAGTTTTTCTTCACAGATGAGGATGGCTGGTATGAGGTCCAGGCAACTTCTCTTGCCACCTCTTGATGGCAGGCAGCAGGAAGCTGAGCTGTCAGTTCTGTAAAGGATAGTGTACATACCCAGGGGTCCTCTGTTCCTGCAAGCTAGATGGATATGCCAGCATCTGGAAGGAATAGGCCTGGTCTGGAGCTGTTGGTAGCAAGATCCAGATGCTGGTCATATAAGGCTGTCTATGGCATCCTTGATTCTACCTAGCAGAGAGTGCATTCCTTAGCCACCAAAGCTGCTTGAAAGTTTAGCTTTCTTCCGACTCCCATTTCCTAGGACCGATGTAATAACTTCATGTTACAAAGAAGCCTGCTTTGGGGGGATGGGACGGGACTGTGAGTTGGGGGGCCAATGACCCTTTCTCTTCATCTCTATCCCTGAATTAACTTATTCAGGGAATAAGTTATTGTTGTGCACTTACTGTCCTACATCATCTGTCTAGTTATGTGCTTGTTCTCATTCTGTTAGAATTTGGTACAATGTGTGTTGGCTGGAGGTTTCATCCTTCCATTCTGCCTCCTGCCATCTCTTGACAACCGCCATCTCTTGACAACCACGTCTGTGGGTTCATACCTTAAAGCAGGTAGTGGGTTCTCTTCCAGAAGCACTGCCCTGATAGCCCTGTTAGCTGTCCATACCACAGCAGGATGACCAGCCTAGCCATTGTGGATGTCTGCCTGTGTACAGATTCCTTTGGGTTACTCTTGACACGACCCTAGACATCAGCAGGGGAGGCCGGGGAGGATAGAACCATCCATCTAACCAAGGAGTGTTCTCTTTGAAGTGCAGCAGCAGCTTGAGAAAAGAGTCCTGGCTGAAGCCCTTTCCCAAGAATCAACCAGAGATTTCACGTAGATGAGGACCCAGGGCAGAACAGCAATGTTGCTATAATTCTCAGTGACAGATTTCCCAACCCAAATCCTGACTAAAGCCTCAGATGTCATCATTTTTGTCTGCTCTGATGGATGAGGCTGCCTGCCACACTGGAAAAATTCTGGGGCCAAGTCAGGTTTGGTAGGGGAGTCATCTTAGTACTGGACAGGCTGCTGCCCATTGGTGACATTGGCCATTTAGAATTCAGTGTCTCCTGAGAGTTTGCAGTTTAGTTACAGATGATGGTGCTGCAGAGCAGGGAAGCCTTTTGTGGAGGAACATTTATTTAGGACTGTTTCTTGAGGGAGTTTAGGAATATCTTATCATAGTTGATATGAGGAGAGCACATGGTATGTACAGGGGAGGCTTTGTTCTCCCAGGACCAAGACCACTCTGTTGTGAAAGGAGGGATGGAATTCCCAAGCGGTGATTCAGGCCTGGGTAGAGCACCCAAGATTTTGCCTTGACAAACTGGGGAAGAACATGTAAGTGCCAGCCCCTCCTCATTTCATCTAATAGCTCATGATATTCCAAATCAGAGGAAATAGAGACCTCTTTCCGAATTTCTAGGGCTCAGAGGCATGGCAGGTCTTAAAAATGCCAACCAAGTTTAAAATAAATCAATACTGTAAAACACTGTCGTAAATTTCCCAACTTCAACTGAATTTCACTTTCAGTAAGAGGTACCAGGGGAAAGCTGTAACTCAGCCTGCAACATAAACAGGTCAGAAAGAATTCTGTATTTTGTTTCTTTGTTAAAGGAAATGATGTCTAGGGACTTGGGAAGAATGTATTAGAGCCACCCAGGTACCTCATAAGGTGTAGCAAGAAAGATGGAAATGGTTGTTTTCCAACTACAAAACTAATCTTGATTTGAAGCAGGGGAAGGAGTCTCCGTGAATGATGGCTGCATTTTTTTAGTTTTCTGAACTCGGGCACGGTACTATAGTAGTGATGGGGAAAACAGATTGGCTAATACCATGCTGGATTTTAGTATTTATCATATTGTCCATTGATTCTTCATTTCGGTCCATCTTCTGGGGAAAGGGACACCCTTAGCGACCAGATATAGCACCCCTTTGCGTTTCCTTTTCTACTTTTTATTGGACATGCCTAAGACATGCCTTCTAGAAAGCTGATGTCTAGGACAAATCTTAGGCGTAGAGTAGGAATGTGCTGCTGTGAGATCTTGGCAGATCTGCAGAGACATTGCCAGCAGGACCCAGCCCCTTGTACCAGACATAAAGA